CGTCGATTTCATCCTCGGTCGACCAATCAATATCCGACGCTTCAATGTACGTCGGAGCGGTAAAGGTGACGTTTTTTGCATTCCTGCGGCGCATTGCTTTCTTTAACGGATTTTTGGATTTCTCGGAATTGTCACCCAGCATCGTTGCTGACAACTGTTTCTGTTAGAGAGTCCTACTACTCAGCGGGTATCACATACGTCAACATTTCGATGCTTGTTCAGCCTTGCAAGTCTTTCTGTGGGTGTTTCTATATGCTCAGCCGGTAGATATCCTAGGGACTGTCAGGGAACCGTTCTGGGAAGGGCGAGCGAGAAATGTTACCGATGCTGCCATCCTTCACGATTCGAACGAGCCACCAGTAGCTGTTGCTATCGTCGAGGAGGACCATTGTATCTCCTTTTGCTGCGTTGGCTTGTCCATCAACCGTGGCGACAAAATTGTGAAGAGCGTAGACGAATTCGAAATCAATATCTTCTACTCAATGTAAGCCATGTGCATCTGGAAATTTATAGAACTATGAGGGACATGGGAACGTTGCACGGCGACAAGAAGTGCAGCGCGACGAACCATCCCGCAAATATCAAAGTCCCAGGGTCAGGTGCTTACCATCGTCGATTGACGGCGAACTTGAGATTTTGTCCATCAAATCATCATCCAACAGATCGTCACTTTCTTCGTCTGCGAGGTCGCCTTCTTCTGAACCATGGCCTCGTCCTTGGTTTAATCCTGCATCCGCAACTTCCATATCGTCATGAATATCCATTCCATCATGGTAATGGTCAGTGTTCAGGTGGCTCTCGTCCAAATTGGGGCCGTGTATCATCTCATTTCTTGCATCTTGATCCGCATGGCGAAGGGTATGCTCTTGATGGGGTGCAAGGCCACTGCTTGTATTGAAGGAATGTTTCGAATGATCTTTAGCCGAGGGAGCATGGTGATCTTGAAGGTCGAGCGTGTCTACCGCGAGCGAGTTAGAATTTCAACGGCACAGCTCAGGGACTTTGCCAGTGCGGTCTGATTGTTTCGGCACATACCAGCTCGGATAATTCGAGGCCTTGTCATCTTCGATCTTTCTCGGATATTTGGTCCCTAGAAAAGCGACGAAATTGTATCGAGAGCTCGGAAACTGAAGACTGAGGAGCGACTGAGAGATCAGGCGTCATCGATGTCGCAGGAGAGGGCAAAACAAGATTTGATGCAATAGCGATTGGTGTGGAGTAAAACAAGAAAAATTAAAATAGAATAAACAAAGCAAACCAGGAAGGAAATGATCGAATTGAAGGAGACTCTTGTCAATTAAAGACGCAAGGATAAGTGTCAAAGAGTCTGAAGTTAATCAAAGTGACAGCGCCAGCTTCCACTCCGCAGAGAGCGTCGGCTCAAGGTATCAAGTATAGACGGTCAAATAATGGCAATATGGCCCGCAAGACGAAAGAAATACTTCCAGAGCGATTCTTGACGAGAACAGGCCGAACTAGGAAGAAAAGAAGAGATATGCAACGCCCGTGGCCGTGTCAATGACCGGGTAGCCCAACGTGTTCCCCGGACTATCAAGACAACGTCCGAAAGGGGGGCGTCCAGAATCTCCAAAACAAGCGCCCCTTGCGCGCGCTTATTAGGATTGGCCTAAGGTGCCTGAGCCTGGTACCTAAGGAAGAATGTTCTAACTACGATAGGCTTAGCACGTGCTTGTTTGGCCCTAGGGCAAAGAATCGTAGGCCAGAGTCCACTTATCAGGTGACATACTGGGGTCTGTATGATGATAAAGCGCCGTTCATTGGACGGTGAGCAAATTTAGTGTCGATCTGCCACCCCCGCTCACTGTTCACTTTCCGAGCCTTCGCAACAATCGTCCCGTCATCACCCGATAAACCCATCCTTGCCCATCACCTTCGTCTCAGATTCGACACTTCTAACAATCTTTTCATCCAAATCTCTGTGGATAGGTGGCTCATCATCTAGTTTTACTCCTCTTTCACTGAATATCCTTCGTCTGCAAGTGGAGCCTTGTCCCTTTAAATCATACCACCCGTTTTTATAGTTGCCCCCAATAATCGACGGAATTAAATCACACAACGGACCTCGGTCGACCCCCCCCCATGTAGTCGCCTCATCGTATCATCGCGGAATTCAGCAACCTCATCACCATTTCAGCTTTTTCACTTATTACGGAGTTGTCCTCTTTGAGGGCATGGCTCATAAAGAAAGGAACGGATTGGCAGGCTTGAAGATCGAAACTTCCTTTCAGCGACATCAGTGGCAGCGGCCTGAAGGTGGCCGGCGAGCGACGGATGATGGCAGTGGTATCGAGGGCGACCGTACCAACATCTTTCACGATTCTGGCGCGCGCGGTTGCGGTACTGATCAAGACAACAGTATACTGAGTGGTCTTCATTCAGCGACTCCTCCAATCTCGGTACCTCGTCACGATGATCGTCACACGCACGATGTTAGCTATCCTCATAAGCCAGACGAGGTTTCAGCCTCCCCGCTTGAGAGCTACATCCAGAATCGACGGCCCTCCATCAGCTTTGACCCTAACGTCACTCTAGATTCTGGCCAACAGCAGCCTCTCGAAGAGCCACTTGCCAAGGGAGATCCGAGAGATCGAGGTCTCTTAAAGTATCAATCCAGAACTTCAGGTTTAAGGAATGCTTTGTCCCAAGAAGACGATGAGGGGCACGATGTGAAGCAGATCGACTACAATGCCAGTCCCAGAAGATATCGTAACCAGCGTGTCTTCCCTACTGGATATCGCGGAAGTTTTCCTACTAGTCCCGAGGAAGAGATGCCTATGAGCTCTGAACTGGACCGTCCAACATCGTTGACGTCTGTTTCAACTGTATCTCCTATAAACGATGAGGTTCGAACACCGCCCGAAAGTTCCAGGGACCTCTTATCGCCCATCTACGTGGCGTCACCAGTACAAACGTTCGCTTCGCTCGATGACCGCAGTTCTTGGTCCACAGGTGTCATAACGCCATTCGGTAGCAAACCAAGGGGATTTCGAGGCTCTACGCGTCAGAGCTCTCGCCGGTCTACGCTCTCAAGCGGCAAGTCCCCAGCCAGCACGTTTCTGTCCATGTGGAATGGCGGAGAAGAGCCCACTCCACAGCCTGATGACGAGGGTCAAATGGTTGGTACTGAGTACGTGCTTGGAAAACAGATTGGCTTTGGCGGTTTCAGCACTGTAAAGGAAGCATATAAAGTTGAAGAGAGTGGTGGAACCCGACGCCTCGCTGTGAAAATCGTCCGCAAGCAGGTCTCTGGGAAGAGCGAGAAGGAAAATGACATGGTCCAAGCTGAGTTTGATCACGAGGTCAGAGTCTGGCGATACCTCAATCACCCGAATATTTTGACACTGGATGCGGTGTACGAGACAGACTATGCCACTTTTTGCTTCACAAAACTGGCTATTGGGGGTACCCTCTTTGATCTTGTTCGCCAGAACCGTCAAGGCTTGGATATCAAGCTTGCCAAGAAGTATAGCTACCAGCTAGCATGCGCCCTGCGATATCTGCATGAGGACGCCCGCGTTGTGCACAGAGATATCAAGCTTGAGAACTGTCTACTTGACCCTCACAAGTCCCAGGACGGTACACAGTCGTCTACTCTTGTCCTTTGCGATTTTGGCATGGCTGAGTGGCTAAACACGGACAATGAAGGAGACTCCCCAGGCCCTTACGACGATGCCGCGGACCGGCCACCGCCGAAGAACATCGGCCCGGCCGGGTCGAGTACTAGCGTTGCGGGAAGCTTGGAATACGCCTCCCCCGAGTTGCTTCTCTCAGACAATGGTGTGATCGATCCTTCAGTGGACATCTGGGCATTCGGTGTCATTGTCTACACTGTCATCGTTGGATCCCGTCCTTTCCAGGATTCCTTTACCCCTCGTATACAATCGAACATTCTCAACGGAACCTGGAACCGACAGGCCGTTCTGGGTGACACAAGCGACCCGCAGGTTGTAAAGGACAGAGAAGCTGCGCTTGAGCTAATCCAGGGTTGCCTAGACATGGACGCCAGAAGGCGTTGGACTATTCGTGATGTATTGTCATCACGTTGGTTGGATGGCTTTTCCGAAAATACGCAGAACGGTAGCAGCGACTCAATCTGGAAGCTCTGAGTGCTTCTTCGACGGCAGACTTGCCAGCACTCTTTGATATTCTTTACACCTGTTGAGTGCTAAAGACCGAGATGAAATTTATGATTTATGTGTGTTTTACTTTGATGGTCATCACCGGCGCTCTCTAATGACAGCAATGAGGGCTGGTGTTTCGGAATTGTTGATCATCTGTGATACCCTTTGATTTTCTCGACGAGTTCTGCTTGCGATGACCTTATATATGGAGGGATTGATATCCGTGATATCCATGCTCTTTTTTTTTTACTTTTTTCTTTATTCGTTCTCGACTCATCCAGGGCACTTTCGCAAGATATGAATGGTTTATTGAATTTAAGAAAAAGTCGCACCGTGTTAGCGAGCATGGCGTTTTTCCTGGCTGGTTCTCCACGCGTTCTTCACTCAATGGCTTTTGCATGATGTACATATCTTTCCAAATGGCTCTCCTGCTCATAGCCGGCTGACTTAATATAAGTCTCACCTTCTTCTATCTCCGTGATTTGTTGTCCGATGACCTACATTTTTAAACATGCGAATTACCATATCACCTGGGGTGTGATTGCAGGGGATTGCTTTGTACTGACAATGACCCACCTGCTTCCCAGTCTTCGGCCCTCGTAGACTGATCCGGCCCGGCATGGACTAAGTACCATGCCTGCTGTTTTGGCTCGGTTAATGAAATCAAAGGGCGACTGGAAGAAACGAGAGCTACACGACCAAGGTTCAATATTTCATTTATGCAAAGTATTTATACACGTATTCCCACAGGAAAACCGGAAGCCAACAAGACAGAATGTAAACGAAGAAGACAGGCTAGTTGTACCATGAACGCAAGTCAAAAACATAGAGCTAGACACGGTAGATTTCGTTTCCTCACTACCAAAGCCTGTTCTCCGGTAGCACCTTCTCCTTCTTGACGCCAGCAGACGACTTGCGCTCCGCCGGCGAGCGGAAGAACAAACTGGGTCCCTCGGAGGGTTTGAGCAGATGGCTCAGATACCCCCGGTGGGCCGGGTCACGGTAGTACTCGATATCCCGACGCTTAGTGGGGTCAGGGAGCCGGTACTTGTAGCCCATTTCGCGCATGATATTTGACTCGGTGAGATCCTGGGCCTCGAGGCCGGCGGCCTTGAGGAGGGCGTCGCTGCCGCTTTCGGGCGACCACGCGGTCGAGACGAACGGGTGTGTCTCACGCTTCATGATGCGGGCTATGGCGGAGCGCGTATAGAATCTTGTTGTCACGGAGCCGCCGGCGGCCTCGACGGCAGCGATGGCGCTGGCGGAGGCGCGCGAGACGACGATGTGAATGGGTTGCTTGAGGACGTTGCCGCCTTCGGCTGATACGCCGCGGCCGAGAAGCTTCACGCCGTCCTTGGTCTGGTGGATGCAGCGAGATTTGGCCAGTTCGCGGATGGTGATGGGGCGGGTTGGGTCGATGCGGCCTTGGTCAATCCATTCCTGGATGCGGTCGAGGTTGGCGGGTGCGAGGTCGAGAGCGAAACTGCGTTGCCGGATGTCAGGAAATCTCCATCATCTTCTCTCTCTGCTCACAAGGCCGGGACATACACGTTGTTGAACCCACGCTCACCGTGCACCACAATCTCCGGCGTCTGTCCACCATTGAACCCTGCGGGGACTTTTCCATGCTGCTTTTGACCCTTGTGACCACGTCCGGAGGTCTTACCCTTACCGGACGCCGGACCACGACCTCTTCTAATTCTCTTATTGTACGCCCCCGGAGTATCGGACAACGACGCTAAAATGTGTGCATTGCGGCTCTGTTGCTGGAATTGCGGTAGGAGGGATGACAGGGGCGATGCTGCCGACACAGCTGGTTTTGACAGAAGCTGTTGCCACCTCAGTGGCAGCATTTGAAGACTGGGACGCATTGTATCCGTGGGAGACTGATGATTGTGATTTTCCGCTTCTGCGTGAACTGATATTCTGGGACAAAGATCTTCGGGATGCGGATGCGGAGAAATGTCGGACCGGGGCATCATTGGCTTCTCTGCCTAGAGGTTGACTACTATGAATTATCCTTCTGATACACATGATAATAGAGTAATCGTCTTATTTTTCGTACTTATTCATCAAAGGTCTCTGGCTGTGATTGAATTATTGTCTACTGGTTCTAGCGAACAAAAGCTTCAATGAGGGCCAGCATAAACGCCCCGAAAGCACCTAGCCAGGCAGCTATGGAACGATTGCTATCCCAACCGACGCTCAATATAGCTGTCCTGCAGCTTACCGAGGACAGTTCTAGTCAAAGAATGCAGATAATCAGCCAGTCTGTGGAAGATTGTCCACTGCTTCCTAATGTACGAAGGCAGAAGGACACCGTAGCCTCATCCGCTGTCTCTCACCCTCGCGCCGATACAGTGAAATCTAACCACGCTTTTGTGCACTGACAGGCCATTGTCTTTCCTAAGTACCTGACCAGGCTGTGGCTGGGAGATTGTCTATGAACAGCCAGTATCTCTCGCTGTACTGATCATTGACTAGGATAGGTATACCTGGAACAAGATGTTGAGGAACACTTCGAAAGTGCCAGATATCGCCGGCTATATGCTCTGACTAGCCAACAGCAAACTAGGCTGGCCCGTTTTGCATCACAGAAACATCAAATCAACCGTGACGTAGAGGGCCAGATGCACCATCGGCTTCAAAGAAGCATGATGCTTGGCCGGATGTAGCAACTGAGCCTCCTTCGGTTCGATTACAAATGTGTCTGTCGGCTGTGCTTCAGACCTTTGAAAACGAATCAGCCAGTCAAATTGAGAATAACCGTATCGCTAAAGAAATTGATAGTGTTCCATTGCAGGGCGACAGGAGCAACATGTTGACTTGGGCTATGATTCAACTGTAGACAGAATACTCACCGCTGTGTCCATGGACGAGGTAAGCGAGCTCTGGATTTTCACACCCATTGACACGATTAAAAATGACTTGAGAGGCCACTTTGCCCAGAGGTAAGGTTGCATCTTCAATGTCTTCCCTTGCTCGGCACCTTCTTACCCCCGGTGCATACATATATACCTCGGGAATCATGACAAAGGTACGGAACGTAGATTGGCTCACGATGACGACCAAAGTACCTGACGTTGAATTCAACTCGCAGCGTCATTGGTCACGGAGTCGCCGTGTTCAGCAGGCATAGTTCCTGTACCAAGTGCGTGCCAGCAAGGACTAGACGCACTGGAATACTCGAGTACACTGCGTATCACCCAACACCGTCAACAAAGATCCCAGAAGCAAGGTAGTCTCTCAAACTCCATGAGACTCAGACAAGGTATGGACAGGTTCCTTTCGTCAACTCCGATAAACATAGGGGGTGCCTGCTTTCCGCGATCCCATGGCATTCAGATGTCAGCGACACGGGCATCGTTGCCCAGTCCATGGTTGAAATCTGTTCGAAATCAACGGAGAGCCTTGTTTTGTGGCCCACTTCCCAGGTGGCAGTGTTGGTTTGGGGCCGCGGTTGATTACATCCATCGTTTAGGACATATTGCAAGATGCCGAAGATAATATCCGCAGAATATGATCGAATTAGCAGTCACGATGAGAACGGTTGGGTTTGTAAATGTACTGGTGTAGGATACAGTATTCCAGTGGGGAAGCAGGGAGCAAAGGAGAGTGAATATCGAGGTCTGGACTCTGGACAAGTCCTGCTGCTATATTTGGGTCAGATGCTCTGTCAGTCTCATTTCCATGATCCAGATGTGAAACAGGATTCGTATGCCTTCCTGACTACGCATCTATCGCCCTGATTGGTAAATAAAGAATGGTGATTTTATGACCCATTGTGGGACAGAATCATTGTCGTGACAATAAGGTCAGTATGTCACAAGTTGTTGGCTGTCATTTACGCTTGTTTTGGACACTGGAGTATTGCTCTTATAGACCTGTATCACAATGACCGTTGCTTGAGCTACGAAGGACATCATCATTCCAGGTTTTATACTCCGTAGTAACCGAAAGTTGCTGGAGGAATCCTGGTGTTGTATGGTCTCTTTTTGTCACGGAGCATGCCATCGGCTATGCATTTATGGCTGTTAATTATCGCTACTAAGATCCGATAAGTGTCTCTCATCACATATGAACCTCGGTTTCGGCGCGTGATATACAGATCATTGATGCTGTCGGTATTCGTAAGAGTGTAGATCGAGATCATCCTGATGATTCAAAGGCTCATACTTCGGACATCCCATCCTGCGACTGGGTCAGAATGTTTCGCAGATAGAAGACTCGTGTGTGCTGGCTCAAATCGTTCAACTTGAGACATCTTTTCACTGACCCTTGCACGAGGATGGGACATGGAGGAGAAAGAGCGAGGCGCAACCCTCCCTCGCAGCAGGGGCTTCGTCTATCTACTCTACACCAGCAGATTCTGAGCGCGCACAAGCACCAATGCGCTGGATGAAATCAAATTTAGTCAAGCGAGATGAAAACGCAAGTGATCAATCATCAGTTCAATCCCCGTGCGTTGGCCATGGGAGAAATGGGCTGCTGATGAAGTTCTCGAGCCGCCGGGATGAGGAAAAAATTATAATGTGAGGAGTCTAGAGAGGTAGTAGGGTGGACACTAGAGAAACAGCCACCTATCCTGTGAAAGGTCTGTACAGTTGTCCCTGGCAAAATACATAGGTACATAAGGTATAAGGTAGATGAGAACGGAGTACTCCGTACTCCATACCACACTCATCGAAGCCACTTGCATACATCCAACTGCCCACCTGGTGACCCTGAAAGGCTGCAAGGGTGGTAAATAATAATGACTTAGATATGACAACCCACGGGGCACTCGGTGCACATTTGCAAGGAGCTGCAGTTACAATAGGCAAATTCTCCGATGAACATCGTTTCCCTTCTGGTAATGGGGCACAGGGCAACTACGACTGAGATACAGCCGGATTGGAGTAAAACCAGATGAATTTGGAGACGGCCTGTCAAGTTCGGCTGGAACATGACGCAAACTAATATTCGCAGTGGACAAGCGGTTGAAGATAACATTACTCCGTATCTTCTTCTTGATATGGGAAATTGTGAGTTGAGCACAGTTCAAATGTGAGATCCACTCCGGAAATCGTAGTAGGTCGAACTTGACTACCAGTAGTGATAGTCTGCAGCCATACAATAACCAAACATACTTGGGAGCTGGGATGGTTAGTCCCTGAATGCAGTTCCTGCTGAACTATAGACCACTCGTCCACTCCTACCAAATATTGCTATTTGCTAGATGGCTGGCTGCCCAAGTCACGACTCTTAATACCGTATGGGGCAAATAGTGCTGGATGTGGATATTTCGACAGTGGCACCGTATCAGAGCAACATTATGGATGCCACTATCACAGAGCAGAATTTATTTATTATAACTTCGAGGTTAAGATTATTCGCTCAACCATTAAACGAACCTGATAGTGGGTTACGGTAGAGAATAGTGTAGGAAGGAAGAAAAGCCCGAATTGTGAAGTCTCTAACACCTTCAGGGAGAGATTACGGCAAGTTTCAGTGCCACAGGTGACAGACCACTCTGTGGCAACTTCAATGACCAGTCTGTAACAGCTGCTATGTGGATTTCGATTATTTGTACAGAGGTAATCCGTAGATAGTCAGTCCGTACTAGCGAACTCAAGGATACAAATGTTGACTTCAGCAGTCTCCCCCGACGGTTCCGAATGGTCAGGAAGTTGAGGCGACTGATTAGTGTAAACTGGAACCTGATTAGCCCCTCGAACTGGGATATGACTTCAGTCAAAGTCAGATAATCTGAGCATAATTACTGTAGAGAATAAGGAAATTGCGTTACAAGCAAGAAATACCAAGGTAATATTGACGAAGCCCTGGGTCTGAAGCCGATCGCGGCAAAGTCTCATTAAGGGCAGTCTTGCGGTCTGCCACCTGCACTTTGCCCAGCCTGACCGACGACAGTGCCTAGTGGTGGACAGAGTTAAGTGCCGCTTAGTTGCCCACAGCAAAACATAACTATCATTATTACCTTGACAAACGCCGCCGCCGTTTAAGACCTTTTCCCTTGGTTCATTTTGCCTTTCTTCCTTTTTGAGGGGGGTCTTAGGCCCATGCAACTGCAAGTCTGCGGGCCCCAGGCGCACATGAACAGACCAACCACACTTGTTTTTAGGCCTCTTCGCCGTCTGAATTTGACTTTCCCAAACGAGTCAAGCGTTGCTCTCCCTTTCCATCATTTTCTCTTCTGTCATGCTGGCGAAATTTGGTGATGGCTTAGGCTAGCTGCGAGGTGGCCATCCGCCCCTTTGATGGAGACACCTGCGGCGTTTTTCAATGCTGAGATGACCATCACCATCAACCAGATCCAAGGGTTCATTTCAAGCCCCAGTCTAGATCCGCTCGCGGCCTGCTATTCGTTCTTTACGGATGCCGACTCAGGTTGAATTATTTTAGATGACGAAGAAGACTGTCTAGATATTATTATTGACTTAACATCAAGACTGAAAGTCTGCCACAACCCTCAGCCCTCAGCTTGTCTGTTACCTGGTGGCACGCGCTTGCAAGATGGTGGACACTGTTCTTATCTGGGGTTCTGGAACAGTTCTTCAGCCTACTTGGACTTATGATTATCTATTATTTGCAAAACTGCAACCCAGTCAACTTCCGAGACATGATCCAAGTATAGAACGAGCTCAGGCCGAGCCGATCGTTGAGACTTGCCTATGAACAAGTAACTTTGTGTTCGTGTTCTTGCCTTTTTCAAGACAGTTGACTGGCGGCACTTATCCGCTATGCCGTGACTCCTATGTATCTGCCTGGCTATGGAGTAGTATTTTGGACGCATACACCACAATTCCGGTCCAACAGACAAAAGAAGGGAAGGCTGAAGCATTTAACACAAAGAAGAAGCCAAAGAGGTCAA